TGCTGAATTCCTCTGTGGCACAGCAAATACTCCTTTTCAAAGGAAAAATGCGGAGGTTTCAATCGATGATGAAGTATTCCAATCAACAATATAACTTATTAAATAAGGTATATCTATTCTACTATTGTACTAAATTTCTTTTCCAGGCTGTTTTGCCTGGCAAACCAGCCCATGCAAATAAGAAGGAATAATATCCAAGTGTATTTGTTAAAGTACTGTGTAGTAAACAGGGACAATACTTGGTGAAATATTTATTAGTGGGAGAAATGAAAAGCTTCAGTCTTAATGCCTGATGTGTCACATCTGTGTGTGTTTTGAGATACCAGTATGTACCATAGGAAGCTGGGGTCAAAACTGGTCTTTTTGCATGCTGTCTCAAAGCAAATGAGCAAGTGGTTTTTTGGGACAGAAAGACTGAATGCTCTGGCTCTGGGGGATTTACTGAACGTTTAATGAACTTGAGGAAGAGACACTGGCTTTGCAGTTAGTTTGTGGTTTTAAATAAGCACATAAACTTCTGACAAGCTGTAGTTGCTATAAGCAGGACTTTTGGCATCGAACATTTCTCTCATCCAGCTGGAAAACAAAACAAACCCCAGTTGTTAATGAGACAGTGTCAATGCATTCAGTTTTGCATCGCTTTAGAATTTACAAACCAACATGGAGCCCCTTAGAAGTGTAAATTAATCTGCAGGACAGTAAAATCAAGCATCCTCTTAGCTGCTGCATTGCAGCTCTGCCTTTAGGAAATGCAGCTCATTTAGCCATGACACAATGTTACTTTGCATTTAAGAATCCGTAGCAAATCAAAATTTAATCCAGGCTCTCAGCCTGTACCGAAGTGATTTCTTTTTGGTTTTTTTTTGACATCAGGGATGATCTCCCATGACAGTTTGGGTTGCTCTTGTCCAAATGATGTCATCCTTCAGCCTCCCCGCCACTGCCGGGGGGACGCACAGGCTCGCCTTATTCACTGGCAACTGCCTCTGCTTGCCTTTTCTGCCGAAACTGGCTGCAATTGCTCCTCTGCTCTGCGTTCGCTTTGTCTGGTTTGCCAGGGTTTGAAATGCATTGTGTGCATATGGATGTCCCTTGGATTATAGAGAGGAACTGAAAATGGCTGTGACTGAGGGGAAATGAACAGTTTGTTTGCCAAGCGTGTAACACGTGCTTGGTTTTGGTAGCGTATTTATAAATGTGCTGTGTTTTAACTGGGTGAGCTCCTCGCCTCTGTGGAAGAGAGGTTATAAAGACACATGCTGAAGTCTTCGTGTTTAGTGAAAAACATGGCCTTGGTAGCTCAGGGGAAAAAATATGTTCATCGCTGACACAGAAGTGTTAAATGAGAGCCATTTGTGCTGAGATGAGAGAGAAGCATTATACTCGCTGCAGAAACACTAGACTAAATGGGGCTAGATTAATTTTGGATTAAAACGATTTAAAAAAAAATAACCTCTGAAGACAAAAAAACAAAGAAGAATCTCTGTGTTGCACTTGAGCGGGTGAAACATCACGAGGTGTGTCTGAATGAAGCACCCTAGCAGTTGAACAGTGTTTTGAATAACAAACCTTGCTGGTCATGGTAACAGTAATGGAATATATTTGTGCAGTGTGTACAAATCTGTGCTAATGAACACAAATAAAGTGGAGAAGGACAGTGAAGTTTCCCCAAGTAGTCTTAGCTCAGCCTTGGGCATGCAGCATTAATATCTTTCCCTCCAAGTGTTGCTTGTCTTCTGTAATAGTCGTGCTAGGGGATTTAAGAGGCGGTTTTTTGTGTGCAACACAAATCAGAAGTGTCGGTGTACTCTTGAATGATTTCATAGTGAGAAGGCAAAAATGGACAAGTTTTAAGTGCATATGCAAGGGCCTAGGAAACACAAGTGTGAAGCACAGTTTCCCTCTCTTGTTCATGATCCCTACGTGTATGTGTATGTGTATGTGTATATGTATATGTGCCACATGGAAATGCATTCTGTGTTTCTTCACTGGCATCACCTCATCCCCAAGGAAATCCATACCTGAGCCATTTTGCCTTCAGAGTCATGACTGAATGTAGCAATCAGTTTGGTCTACAGGTACGATAAACATAAAAGTCTATAAAATAACTAATGTGCCTTTTGATAAGTATGCAACAATGTGGACCGCTACAGGTTGAGTTGGAGTTTTGCAGGTAAAGCAGCAAAATAAAAAATCATCATTAAATTTAGATCAAGTTTCAGAAATAAAGAGACTTTGAGGTTTGGGTTTTTATAGAGGATAAGGAGAGAATAAAGCTTTTTTTAAAGAGAAAAGTTAATGTTGGTGCCTATTTGTCTTTTAGGTACGTACATTCTGACAACTGCCCTGCTGCCCCTCCTGGAAAAAGAAGCCGATGCCAGAGTGGTAAGTCTGCGATGCTGCTGAAAAGTGGTGTTTTAGTGTTCTTACCTTCTCGTTTGTGACAGCATTTCTCTTCCTGTGCTAGCAGTGCAGGATTAGTTATAATGCTGTAAGCATCTTGAGAATTCTCTTGGATTTTGCTACCTGCTTCTCAGAGGCAAAGCTCATGGCTGCTACTCTCAACCCCTCACTGGAAATCAGAGTAAAGCACTTTCTTTGGAAACTTCTCCTTTTGCTTTCCCTGGGGCAAGTTATCTCCTGCAGCATAGTGCAAAATACCTGTGACAGGAGTATAGGCTTAAAAGAACCTTAGAGATCATGGTGTAAAATAAGACAGCAGGTACATTGTTTTAAAATTAAATTTCCCAAGTTTTGTACAGTCTCTTGTTTTCTAATCAGTTTCTATAAATGCTAAACATATAAACTACAAATAGTGCAATTCTGCTATTTACTTTGTCCCAATTACTTTTCAAAAGGAAGAAGCACAGTGCTCTCTGAAGAAGTCAACACCACTTTGAATGAAAATCACTTCCTAAAAAAAAATTCTATTTCTTCCACCTCAGCTCCAGGTGTGCTCCATACATGAGCACAAGCATGGTGCAGAGTATGCAGAAGAATCCTGCTCCCTAGGTACTTCAAAATATGGCCTGAAGACCACCTTGCATGCATGAGTGCGATTGTGAGGAGTTCCTGGTTTTGCTTTTCATTCATTTGTGTCTCATTCATTTGCTTTTCATTCATTTGATTCCAGATAACCGTCTCTTCTGGGGGCATGCTAGTTCAAAAATTAAATGTACCTGACTTGCAGTCGGGAAGTGGGACGTTTGATGGAATTATGGTGTATGCACAGAACAAGGTACAGTCTGTGGTTTTGGAAACAAAGCCCAGCACTTGTTTGCTAGGGTGTTTATACCATCTGCTTTGCAAGAAGCTTGTTCACTGTTGCTTTCCCATTGCATCCAACCTATACAGACACACACGGGCAATTATCTTCAGGAGTATGATGGCATGTACTTCTGAGTGCGTACTGTCTTGCATGGAGAGCATGGCTAGAGTTTCATTTGAGTTGATTTAAGTCTCAAGAGGGAAATCCATCTTCAGCTGACAAACCCTTTCTGGCTGTTTAGTTCTTTCCTGCAGTCTGTGGCAAGTAGACCTGGTCAAGAAAAGCAGTGGATGGATTGCAATGACCATGATGGTCTCTGACAAAATTGTCCAATAAATCCAGTCATCAGGATAAGCAAGGGTATATTTCTGCTATACAAAAATACCCTGGTATTTACAGCACATTCAATATAGTTTTTCTCCCTGGGAACTAACTTAGTGGACAGGCTATTGAACTGGATGTTAATCTGGCTCTTTTTGCTCTGTCCTAGAGACAGCAAGTTGTCTTGACAGAACAATGGGCAAAAGCTCACAGAAACATCCATTTCTCTGTTATGCACCCTGGCTGGGCTGACACTCCAGGTAACATCTGCTTAACTGACTGTATTTTTTTCAGGATTAGTCTAAAAGCAAAGAGAAATGAGACTTTCTGGTAGATTCCTCCAACAGCTGCAGTGATTTCTTGGCTCCAAATTAGTGCTTATAGTAGTTTTGTACCCCCCTGGTAGCTCTGTTCTGCACAGTGTCTGCTCTCTGTGGATACCCAGAGAATAATAATGGGCAGTGAACGGCTCCAGCCCCGTGCAAACACACAGCCGAGCCATCATGCTTCAAGCCATCCTTTAAGTTACATTTGTAGTGGGACTGTTGAACACAGAGATAGAGCTTCTGCCTCTGTAAGTACCAATGTGCAGACGCTGGGAATTTGTGAGGGCATATAGGAACATGGAGCACGTGCCACTGTGTGAGCCAAATTCCTCTGCTCTTCCTCTGAATATTCACTGCCAGTGAGAAGCAGCGTGCCTGGCCAGACAGCCCTTTGTCTGGGCTGCAGCTGCTCTTCAGCGGCTGTCTCAGCAGGCAGGACAGCATCAGTTAGCCAGTGTGCGTGCTGTGTTCCCCAATAAGTTACCAGCCCCTGACACCCAAGCTTCACATGCAGACTAGCAATCCAATCTCTAGGTCTTTTTAGGGTCTTTTCTAGTTTCCCAAATTTGCTTCTGATGACAGAAGCATACCCGTCTACTTTATGCTTTAAAACAGCCCTTTGCAACTGAATATCCTAGTATTTCTTTTTCTTTGAAATACATTTATTTTTGCACATCTTCTGTATATTTCAAACCTAATGAAGTTATCCCACCTTAAAGTTCAAGTGCTCTCCAAGCCTCCAAAATAAACAGCTGTAGGGTATGGGCCTTCAATAATCACCTGTTGGACAAAATTAAAAGAAACCAGAGTTTAAATATGAATTATGTCATTGGTTTATGTGCTGTTCACCGTACAGTTTCTAAATACAATGCTGCAATTGGTTTCTTAAAGCTGGTGAGAAATTAAGAGCTAAAAATCCTGTCAGAATGCCCGGGTTTTGGTATCTCTGTCCCCCCTGTGTCTTACTGCTTTGCAGTTTAGAATGAGATTGACTCAGGAACCTCAACTGATCCCACGCTCAGCTCCTACGAGTTATGTCCCTGTAATTTGACCCAGACAGGTAACTGGTGGCTGACTCCTAGCTATGGGGAAATACTCCTTCTTTCATAAACTCTGAGACACCTTATCTTCTTCCTGCAGTCACAATGGCAGTTTTAAGCTGCCATTTACCAAAAAAGCCTTGCATGGCAGACCACCATCCCGTTGTTATTCTTCCTAGCTGTGAGATCATCAATGCCAGATTTCTATCAGAAGATGAAGAATGTTCTGCGCACAGAGGCCCAGGGAGCTGATACTGTTGTATGGTTGGCAATATCATCCGAAGCGACAAAGTTACCCAGTGGCTTGTTCTTCCAAGGTAAGGCTAGTGTCTTACATTGTGTAGCAGTGAGGATCCCTGAGCTGCCTGGAACGCTAGGATCCCCATCTGGCCTGGAAGGGGATGAAGGTTCCACCAGTAAACCAGTGTTCAAAGGATAAAGTATTTCTCAAACTTGTTCCAAGACTAAAGGTTCAAGGGAGCATTGTGCAACCGGAGAACAACTGTGTTAAGTTGTTATGTTCCTGCTTTTGTCCTCTGAAGTAGCTGATAGAGACTTCAAAGCATTTCTTTAGGGAGAGTTGGGGTTGTTTTGTTTAAATGTATGGGACTGCGCCAAGGGAATGTGAATCACAGCAGTCAAACAGCATCTTTTATGATGCTGGGAAACCAGCATCCTTCTCACAGAGCACTGGGGGTTGGCTTTGTTTTGACAGGCTCTTCTGCCTACCGTTCCCTGCGAGTTAAAACTGCCAGTTCCCCCTTTCTCTAACACTGGGCAGAGACTTGAGCACAGTGTCATTTTTGGCTGTAAGCATAGGCAATGGAAAAAAGGGACAGCCTTTCTTTTCTCCCAGGCAACTGACAGTGTCTTAGTCGGACCAGCTGAAAGCATAGATGTCTTAATGGTGGTGCAGCTCAGTCCAGGAGAAAGGAAAAGCTCTCGGCAATGGCTGACAGGAGCCCAGTACTTTTGTTGGATGTGGCACTTGGGTCCTGATCTACTGAATTTCTGGCACAGCATGCAGGAATTTCAGACTTTCATGGCATTGGGTTGACTTTGTCCCTTCTGTCCCTTTCCAGGCAGTCACACAGGGTTGGTTAACTTAACCAGACCTTTCTATGTCATCATGTGGTGCACGTGGAAACCAACCCCACATCCCAGCTGGTCGGTCATTTTTGCAGAACCAGGCTGTGTCTTTTTCATACTTTTGTCACCTTCTTCTGGTCCTAATGCTTCTGCTCAGTTATTCTTGCTCTAGATCATCATTTCACCAGGTTCCTGCCTTTGGCCTTTGTCTACCTGCAACTTTAGTAAACAAGGAACACACCTTGGCTTTTTAGCTGTACATAACTACTTTTGAGAGCTTTGCTCTAGCATGACTGCTCTTAAGGCTGCAAGAGAAGTCCTGTGTCTGTGTCCCATGCTCATCATATAGTGATAAAGTCAGATATTTCTTTCTCCTACGGCCCTTTGAAAGCCACAGTTTAGTATGGGCCCTCTTTGGGTCCTTTCAGTGAGGGACTTTGTTTGCAGGAGCACTTTACCACAGACACTGCTTTTCCAGAATCAGTTGCACCTTCCCTCCATTTCCTCTGTCCTCTTTTATTCTGTTTCCCTTGATTGCAAGCCAAAGCCAGCTTTTTTTCTTTTTTTCTGAGGGGAAAAAAATGTGAAGTGGGCACATGACTCGTACACCCAGAATTCTCTGCATCTGCCAAAATAAATAGAAAATGTTTGACAGAGTCTTTCTTGCCAGATACTAGAAACATCTTCTCTGTGATGCTGAACTTGGCTTTCACACACAGTTTCCAAACTTTAGCACAGGCTGCTGGAAGCACTACATTTAGGTAGGAAGCAGTTAATATTCAGCGATGGAGATGGGAACGTTCCTCTGCAGCTTTTTCTCTCCTTGGTTTTTCGTGAGCAGAGGTTATGTGGTGTGTGCAGCCAGTGACAACATCTGCTCTTAGAGTGAACATCTCTGCTCCCCTGGGAAGCCTGATGGCAGCCTGATGGGTTTTCAGAGAGATCTGCTGCCCATGGCTGCAACAGCTTGTTCTTTCAGTCTCAGCTGGCTGCTGCGGAAGTTGGGCTTATTACACAGACTCACAGAGCTGCTCCAGTGCTCTGCAGTTGCTTCAGACCTCTGAGAGCACTGTCATAATGTTCGAAGGCTCCAGATACCAGGTTTTTGGACAGAAAAATCCCTTAGAATGGGTGATGATACAGCTATATTTACACAGAATGAGTGAGGAGTGCAAGATTTGGAAAACAAATCAAAGCATAAAATTGAGCAGATTTCATCTTTATATTGGATACATGGTGCTTCCAATAGTAACCAATACATGTTAGTATTGGTGGAGCAATTAGTCTAATTTAACTGTTTATTCTTAATGATGAAAGTAGGAATCACTGAACATTGGAAATAATCCAGACTACAAATCCCAGAGGGAAAGTTTGTGTCGCATTAGAAACACTATTCAGGAGGCAAGGAAAAACCATCCCGTGCTGCAAAATTAGCTTCTGCCTGCAGCAATAATCTCAGGTTATCAATCTTTGTCTACAGGAGTTGTGCTGGTGACGGGTAGCAGGCATAAACCCCCCAGTAAAGCCTTCCTTCAACTATCCTGCCCCTAGCTGCAAGGGAGGTCTGGCTCCCCACTCTTAAGTCAGATCATGCTAAGGAACGATTGCTCTAGTTCAGAATACAAATGAAATTACTTTAATTTCTGATTTGGAGGATATGCTTAACTAATGTTGTTTACAGCTATCTAGCAGGTAAGTTTCAGGCTTCAAAACCTTGAGATATGTTTGGGAAGTACAGAGCCTAGCACAAAATTCTCCTTTGTGCTAGAAGAGGTAGTTAAAATAAGGGTTTTAAATTTTTTTTTCTCTTCCAGACAGGCACCCAGTCCCTACGCACTTACCCCTGGCAAGCACCCACAGCCCACCAGAAGATGAGGAGAAGCTGGTGGAGGTGCTGGAAGAATTCTCCCAGAAGTTTAAATCTGCTTCTCCAGGAACTTAGTGCCACCGCTGATACAGCGCGACCACACAGGTTCTAATTGCACAGTAACAGGACCCCAGTGCACCTGCTGCTACAGGGAAGTAGGGTGCCATAGAGACACTAAAAATAAACTGCTCAGGTGCTCTCATCACAGAGGAGAGTGGTGCCCATGACATTTTTTGCTGCTGCTGAGTCTTTCACAGTGTGGATATGCACCTGTGTCACGGAATCACACCAAAATGGCTACACGCACACAATTAATGAACGCAAACAAACGTTAATCTGCAACTAAAATGAAGCAGACAAAACTTCATTCACCAAAACAACATCCCACTGATATTCAACAAATACAGGTTCGATATGCTGGTTGGGAATATTACCAGACACGGCTAAGTTAAGAATTCTTAAGTTTTTGGCCAAATGATCCAAAATGTCCACTCACTCACTCACCAAAGAAGGGAAGGCTCTCAATCTCGAGAAGTTACCTTAAGTGGCATCCCAACTCAAGGGGAGAGTCCCCGACTGCAGACCCGCTGCTCTGACGAGGCCGCATTTATACCCTGGTCGAATCTGATCTGTGGTCAATACATGGTCGTGTCAGCCCCTACGGACTGAGGACCCCAGCTTTCCCGCCTTTGACCCCCACTGTGTGGCCCAGACATGAGCTGTGAGGGGGGAGGCAGTCCTGGTGCCACCAGGGCCAGAAACTTCAGCACTGTCTTTGTTGGGTCTTTCTCAGGTCTTTAGTAGGGTGGGTGCATCTGCCACAACCTGCTGTCCCAAGGCACAGTAAGGTGATGTCCTTGGAACTGGGAGAAAAATAGAAATAAAACCCAAGACTTTGTGAAGTCACCCTTTTTTTTTAAAACAGCATAGAGAGAAATGCAGAGGAGTGGGACCTTCAGTAGCCCTCAAGAAGGACTTCAGGAAAGAAGCAGTAAATGTTTTAATGTTTAACCACTGCATTTGACAGTGGTGGCTTCCTTCACTGTGTGAGAGTGACTGGGCTCTGGCCTGTAACCAGGAGTGCAGAAACTCTCTCTTGCGTTGCCTGCTCAGTTTGAACGGAAGGATTCCTCATGGCCTTCAGTTTCTATAAATCAGTGCTGGTATGCAGAAGCGAGCTGCTTCCTCATGTATAAACAGCAAGAATTTAGGAACGCTGCCAAATGCCTTCCACGTTACTTTATGGAGCCAGGGCTGAATATTATCCTGTTTATGTCAAGACACCATGAAGTAGGAGGTTTCAACACGTAGCACACCCAGACACGATTTGAACCAGCGGAGAAATGGCTGCATGACTGTAGGCATGAAAAGAAATAACATGCTAAGCTGTACATGCTTGCCATTTCTGTGAAGGATCAGAGGGAACTGCTTTACCTTGATGAATGGATTTAGAGTGGGAAGGAAACACTGGGGGGGCAGAGTTTTTAGAAAAGTCCACCTCCTGGTGGAAAGGTTGCGTTTAGCCTGGAACTGTTTATTTCTGGACACGGAGGATGGTGTTCATCTTACCCGACCTGTGGACATCTGAATTACTCATTGAGATTCTCAATTACTCATTGAGATCAGCAGAGAGAAAACAGGCTTTTCCACAGTGATTTACTGGATCTAGCTTAAGAAACAACCTCTGCATTCCTACAGCTTTCTGCTGATGGTGAAGACAACCAGCTCAGACTAAGACATTCAGGGAGGATCCATTTTGTTATACATATTTCAGATTTACTGCAAATCCAAGACCACTAATGGTCCACTAACAATAGTGGTAACACATTTTCTCCTGAACTGAGTGTGTTTGATAGCGAACTGAATACAGAACCCAAAAAAGTTGCACTACTGCTTTACACATGGCTGTAGAAGTGTAGTAGGACAAGAGACATAGACACAAATATAACACAGGCACTCCTGAGCTCTCTCTAGTGACTGGCACCTAAACGCCATGCTGGTGGGCAGAGAAGAACTCTGCTTTGTATAATTTATTTTCCCAAAAGGTGTCCTATTGGCTGATGGCATTTACTCAGAGACTTCCTATTAAGCACCAATTCAGGAAAAAACCTTCCCTTTTCAGCCTATTTGTCAGTATCCTCGGAAATGAAGGCTTTACTCTCAGAGAGACCCTGAAATCAATTTTCCCATGATCAGCAGTGCTAAGCCACCTTAGGCTGTCGCAGCCCTTCCTGGAGAGGCTGGAACAGCAATTGAACTACTGCAGCATTTGAAAAACTTAACTCCTCCTCGCTCTACAGTGAAAGAAAACAACAACAAGGCTTGCACAGAGGTTTATTTCCTAGAACTCTGGTATTAACATTTATCATGGTTCAAATTCTTAGATGCAGTTACTGAAAATAAAAGCATGGCTGAAAGCTTATATAGTAACTACAGTTTTCTATCCAGTAGCTGCAAAGCTAAGACAGACATTTGCATACTTGAGTATTTAAGTCAAGTTGCTTCTCAGCTCTGCAGTAGAGAAGTTTAATGACAGGTATTTAAATAGTTCATAAAAATAACGTGCACAATATATATATAAAACATATTTTAGTCCACATTCTGTACTGAGGCATTTGAATAGCCTGTCTTGTTCTTTTTTTTAGGCACAGTTTAAAAATGAAGTCAAAGGTATGAAAACGGCTTTAATCAAAGTTTGGTCACAGTGTAAAAGAGCCAGATACTATGGTTTAAGAGCACGTGTGATGATTGAAAAAGAATTAAAACACAGGACAGGGGCAGGAAACAAAATCTGAAGTCTCCTGCACTTTGGTATTATGGTCCCGATGCTGCTTTATTCCAGCCCTTTTCCACAAGAGCAAATACGACATGTGGCTGTACAGCCAGCGAGATACTTCGTGTTCACGCAATCCAGAATGGCATGTACCTGCACGTAAGCAACATTTAGTGCCACCTGTAAAATTTTAGGGGCAAGAGAAAAATGGCATCAGTGACAGATTACCAGAAATTGGTGGCACAAATTCTCGCTAATCCGTGCACACTGAGGACTCCAGTGCACACCTGGTCTATGGGGGCCGAACAACGAGCACAGCCGCTCTGCTTACTGCCCTGCTCTTGCCACGCTCAGCCCAACACCTCTTGTCTCAGCTTTCAGGCTTTACGTGACTCCAACCTCTCTTGTTTTTCACATTCTGAAAGCTTTCATATTTTTCTCCGTTTTTTTTGAAGTCATCTACATGGAAGGTTTTTGCTGTTGAGGATTTTGCACCAAGAGGAGCGCAGCGCCACAGACTATGTGGAGTCATGGCCCCATGCCCTAATGGAAAGGCATGGCCTGACAAAAGTGTTGTAGGGGTCATTGAAACACTGCCCTGTCTTGGGTGAAAATTTTAGGAGGTCAATGTAACACATGGCAGATGAGTTTGTAAATGGCATTTCCTCTCTTCCTAAGTTTAATTTCTGGGCCATGTATTTACTTTTCAAAAAACCCCAAACCAACAAACAGAACCAAAATAAAACAACCTGTGGTTGATTAATGGTATAAACAGTTGTTTGTTGTCTGCCTTTGAATAGCAGGGCCTTCCCATTAAAAAAAACTCGGGTAGGATATGGAACATGCCTTCCCTGGGCTCAGAAAGGGGACTTTTACTACAGACTTCAGTGTAAACAGGCTTAGATCAGTGCTGAAAAACTCAACATAAACAATTTGGTGGGACACAGCTCTGGGCCAGACATTTCAGTTTTCCATTCAGACACTGACAGTATTGTTGGAAAATCAGCATTTTTTAAAGCCATAGCAGTAGGCGCAGAATTAGCTTTCATTACAGTGTTGAAAGCAGAGAGTAGAGAGTGGACATGGAGTTACTCTTTCAGGGAGGAACCTGGTGGTCATTGACTCCGGTGGAGAAGGGCAGCTTTAAAACAGCTTAGTCCACAAGTCCTCTTTGCCCATGCCCTTCTTCCCTTTCCTGTGTGTCTTGCTCTCTCACACTCCATGCAAAAATAAAGCTCCCCTTCTGACACTGGATCCTACTTATCTAAAATTAGTCATCATCCACCCACTGCCTTTTTAAAGAAGCTGTTATCGCTCTGCCTGGCAGCAGGAAGCTTCAGATTTCCCCTGGCTCAACCCAGAGGATTTCCCTTTGTCCATCAGGATTATGGCTTTTGGTTTTTGGGGCGAGGTGGTTCTGGGTGCATTTGGGCAGACCCAGTGACTGATTACAGGAGATAACTTTGAAATGCAAATAAGGCAACTTGAAAACTGTATTCCTGCAATCACCCCAACAGCACAAATCGTAGAATCATAGAATGTACTGAGTTGCAGGGGACCTTTAAAGCTCATCCAGTCCAACCCCCCTGCAGTGAGCAGGGACAATGTTACCAGATCAGGTTGCTCAGAGCCCCATCAAGCCTGACCTTGAATATCTCCAGGGATGGAGCCTCCACCATCTCTCTGGGCAACCTGTGCCAGTGATCTACCACCCTCACGTTGAAAAACTTTTTTCTCATGTCCAACCTAAATCTACCCTTTTCTAGTTTAAAACCATTACCCCTCGTCCTGTTGCTACATGCCCTAGTGAACAGTTTCTAGACAATGAGAAAAAGGCGGCACTGAAAAGGCAAGGAGTCTGCTGGGGAGTTAAATGTAACAAAACCACTTCCAGGACTAGAAGTGGCCAAATTCAATAACTTAAATCTGTGAAGTGGGTCAGTATTTATGTTCCTCTCTCGTGAAGGAGCCATCAGATAAACATTAGGAAAAATGATTCATTCTTGTGAAGGCAAACTTCAGGAAGCAGCTCCCAGGAAGTGGTGTTTTCCTCCATGGTTAAAATAATCTTCTTGAGCATCTTCCGGTCACTTTCCAGTTGAGAATCTGCAGGGAGCCTTGGGGCAATGCAGAAAACTGTGCAGTCCATTCGCTGCCCAAACAGCCGCTCCCCTTGCTAGTCGCCTGCTGCTGGGGGGGTCATAGTGAGAATTTGTCATGGCAAAGGTATCTTCCTGTGTCCCCATGTGATGATAGGTGTTGGTTTTACCACAACTCGCAGAAGAGGTAGGTGAATGGGTCC